TGAAAAAATTATTCATATTGTTTTTTTATTTATTATACAAATTTATTTAATGTCCATGTCAGTTAATAATAATATAAAGATTTTTTTTTGTTTTTTTAAATGACAAATCTTACATACTCCTAAATTACTTTTTAAATCCATCTATATTTATAACAAGATTTGAACCCTCAACCTCAAGAAGGAAAAAAGAAACTCAAGAAGAAAGACAACACTAAATACCGTTAGACCAGAACCCGGTTGGTATTAACAAAATTAAATTTATATTGATGAATTAATTGGTTAACAATATTGGGATGTCAGTGGTATCCGGTGTTTGCCACTCTTGTTGAGGTTGGTGGTTTAAGTTTTATTCTGGATATAGGTGGAATTAAAGTATAGTTTAGAAGTAGATTAAATTTATCATTTCAAAAAAAAGAAATTATGACTTTATCTTTTGTATAAATTAATTACACTAATACACTTGTATGGGTATTTTAATCATTTAACGTTGAAACAATTTTTTTTTTTTTTTGAATGTTAGAAAATAAAGAACAGGGTTATTGGTCAACAATTATGTCTCTTACATTGGATGTCTCGAGTTTAATCTAGGTGTTTGACGATTTTGTGATACTAACTTCTAACCACTAATCTTATCGTTTAAAAAATGATATTAGGTTTATGGAAAATGAAATAAAATAAAATAAAATGCGTTAAATTTGAGCGTTTACGATTAAAAACCAAGAATAAAAAAATTGTTTGGAGTTTTTTAATAATGTTATTTATATTATTATATTATAAAAATAATATTATTTTTGTTTTTAATACCTTAATAAAAATTTAGTTTAAAATTATTAAATTTTAATAAATTTAGTAATAATAATTACATAGTAAAGCAATAATGATTACATTATAATGAAGTAAAGTAAAAAAAATTACTCAAATAATAATTCATTACCTAAAAAGTAAGACTATATATGATAATATATAGGGACTACGATGATATGTTCATAATACAATCCATTTTTAATTGGTTTAAGTGGGAAAAAAAATTCTTATCATTCTTAAGGTGGATTTCAAAAATGATTACAACTCCTTCGGTTTGGGATATTTGGATCGAATTATGTCTTTCTAGCGGTTCTCTAGCAGGTGAAGGAGCTGATTTACGGTCTTCTTGGTGTCTTGTAGGTCGTTTATCAATGATAATTTTAGCTTTACTAAAGATTTTCCATTGCACCACTCTATCTATTATATTACATTTTATGGTCTACTTTTTATTATTCCTATATCCTATAATGATTAAAAATCACCTAATCAAATGTCATTATTATAATAATAATTAAGTAATGATTATTACTTTACTTTAATAAACACATATAATATAAATGATTGATTTTTTTAAGAAAAATAAAAAATAATTGGATTTTTGTAAATATAATATATAATAAAACTAATAAAAAAAATTTAAAAGCACAATACGAAATCCTATATATCATTCATTAAACCTTAACATTGATAATGTATTATTGTATATTAAAATAAATTACATCATCTTAAATTATTTATCAAATTAAATAGAAAAAAAAAAAGTTAATTGTATTTTTCTAAAATTATTATAAAATAGAACTATTAGAAAATTTTAGATACCCAATTCATGCATTCGCCCATTTTAAATTTCATACTCTTAAGGGATAACCTAAAAATGTAGCTTCTCTCTTCAATTGGAGGACTCGTTTATATCATATTGCAGGGTGTTAAAATATATTATACTGAAATATTTTTAAAAAATAACATAAATATCTAATTTATCTTTTATTATATATTATATTTTAAACATTTTAATAAATAAATTATATTAAACATGGTTTAAAAAAAACGATATGTGTATCTTAAAAAGTCAAACAAAGCATAAAAAAAGAAAAAATAAATAAATAAAGGTGGGCGGGTTTACAAACAAATAAAAAAAAGGCATATTGGAGGCTTTTTTATACTTTACAAAATGGTAAAGGAGACCTGAAATAATATAACCCAATGTATAGAATTTGTAAGATTTAATTACTTAGAATGAGTGTTGGTAATACGATACCTCTTAGACATCTAATTGACATTTTTATAAAAAGTTAATTTATAATTAATTATTTATTATTAAAATTTTCAGAAATAATGCACTTTCAACCGGTAAAAATATTTTAAAAATTAATTAATGTGTTTATATATGAAAAAAATGATATTTCTTTTTAGCCAACCCCTTTAATTTAAAACTAAATTGTTGTGTGTTAGGTGTGTTTTAGATTGATGTAAAAAAAATACCTCTTTCCATTTTACAGAGGTTTTAGACAAGGAGACCGGTAGGGAGTCGAGTGCGGCCTCAGCTGAAACTGCAGACAGCTGAAACCGCAGTAAACACCGCCCCCGTATACAGTTTGGGGTGTGCGGCCAAAATTAGGAGCTCCGTCTCTCCATGGAATACCACTCCTTGGGTGTGGTAATGAAGTAGATGATGTTGTTTGTGGCTTCTTTCGAGGTGTTCATATTGGGGGTTGCAATTTCTTTATCTGGTATCTTTTTTATGCTGACGATTCTTTATTTATGGGAGATGCAATGCAGAGAATGTGCAAAACTTAATTAATATTAGATGTTTTACATGGCTTATGGCTTTTGTATAAATTTGTAGAAGTCAAGCCACACTGGAGTTGGTGTGGATACTCAAACAAATTAGTTTGTTGCTATTTTAACCGGTTGTGGGGCTACCTCACTCCTATTTTAGTATCTCTGTATTCGGTTAGGGAAAATATGTATCGCTTGAATGGTTCAGGGTTAATATGGAGAGATTTCTCCAGATGGAATCTTAAAATGCTTTCTTGTTGTCGCGGTCTTACTTTGTTGAAGTTTGTAATTGGTAGCCTGAGCATTTATTATATGTCCATTTTTAAGCTTCCTATTACCATCCGTCACACTCTTCATGATTCGGGAAGGTAAATTTGATCGGTCAAATGGGACGTCTTACTTAATTTGAAGGAAAAGGGTTGCTTGGGTATTGGTAGTATGTTTACATTTAATCAGACTTAATTGTACAAATTGAAGTGGCAGTTTTATATAGATTCTTCTTGTTGGGAAAAATTAGGGTTTGCGGTGGAGATCTGGATACCAGCTTGGATCGTGATATCACTTTCCGAACTGATATTTCTACCCTATGCCTGGGTTACAAGAAATTCAGCCTACGATAATCCAAGCGGACACCTACGTTTCTAGGCACAGAAAACGTAAGCTATTATGCTAAAAGGTTCTGTGAATGTGTGATGAAAACGAGAGCTAAAAACGTACGTCTTCTGAAAAGGAAGAGTTGTTTATATACTAAACACGATTAGAGTTTCATTAGGGTTGGGCCATCATTAGTTGCATAGGAAGCAAGTAATATTAATCCGGATTAGGGTTACCAAAAACTAACGAGTTTCGTTAGTTTACCATAATCACCCTCAAGAGATTTAATTTTACATTATGTTCCCATCCGGATTAGTTTTACCATAATCACCCTCAAGAAATATTAATCCGGATTAGGGTTGGGCCGTCCTTACTTGCTTAGGAAGCAAGTAATATTAACCCCGCTAGGGGCGTTGTCCCTAGACCCCGCCTAAGGGGCGCTGCCCCTATGGAAACCCCGGACCCCCGACTAGTCGTCGAACCGAATTCTAACTCGATCTTATACATATGTGCACTCCGCACAAACCCGTACATGTATTAGAATACAAATCATGAAACCCCTTAGCTCACATGTTAGTTCCTGATACTTAAAATGACATGGTGACACTAAAATCACCAACACTTCTTCTGTATGGGCTGCGTTATTAAAGCTTGTCATGGTGATCAGTTTGGATTACAACCTTCAACTATGTTTTGGTGGACATGTGGTAGTGTTTGGAGGGAGATTGTGAACTCTGTTAACCATTTGCATGATAGCCAGTTTATCCATGACTCGGTTAAGCAGAAGGTTATTAGTAATGGTGAGAACACTAAGTTTTTGTTTGATCTTTGGTGCGGACGAAATCGTCAGATGTTTTACGCTCTACCGTTGAACAAGCAAGGTTCCATTTAGGATTTTGGGTCGTCTCAGGTTGGACTTTTAAATGGCGTCATTAGATAAGAGGAAGTGTTTAGGCCGAGCATTTCAAGCCTCACTTCGGGCTATAGAGGGTGTGGCATGTTCAGCTGGCTAAGATCCATGGCAATGGGATTTGGAACCTTCATGTCTTTTTTCAGTATGCGTCTTGATGAACGCGTTCGAATTGGTTTGTTCCAATCAAGGTTAATGTTGTGGTTTGGCTCATTAGTCTTGATCACTTATCGATGAGGACGAATTTGGAGTGGAAAGGGATCGATCAATTTGTGTTGTGTTCATGTTATGAGAAGGCTCCTGAGAGTGTTCATCATTTTCTTTTTTTCTTGCGAGATTGTTTCACAAGTCTGGAACCCTGTTGCTTGTCGGCTTAATGTTTCATGTTCTAAAATTTCAGGTGTTCGATGATTTATTCCATTTGATTGAATTTCATCGATTCTCGCGGTTGAAGCTTCCTATCTTGTCTTTGGTGTTCATGACCGTTTTATGGGTATTATTGTCATGTTGAAATGCTTTGGCATTCCGGTCCAAGAAGCATCGAAAGGATACAATAGTTGATATCATTATTGTGTATTCTTTTAATTGTTTTTTCATAGAAATTCCAAGGCTTCTAGGAATTGGATTGTGTGGTAAAAAAGTCCAGTGGGACATCTTAATTTTGTTTGCTCTATTTGCAGCATCTACAAATGATTTCGTTTCAAAAATGTATATACCATTAAATTTATAAGATTAGATATCTAAAACATATATCAAATTTATGTTTTTCTCTATTTGATTAACAACATTAGAAATATGTCTATTTGATAATGTTAAAGAAACCTATTGAAATGCTTAAAGGAGAAGATTTATCCACATTTCAGGTGTTAAGCATACAAAACAAAGGAATATGGAATTGTGGGTAAAAAAGTGGTTACCTGCTGCCATTTATGTGCATCCCTTTTAAATCGGCCACTTGTGCAAGCGCTTTTTTCCATAGGCCTATATTTTGAGCCCATTGAATTTGTTCATTTACAGTGGTGTTCGCCTCCATCCTTTGTCCATGTGAACCCATCGCATCTCCGAAGCCACTTTGTAGATTCTTGACATGGATGGGCTCGACATGATAAAAGATGGGAACAACAATATGGTTGGATGTCATATGTTGCTCAAGGATCTGCACCAATTCGTCAAGACACCATACAGATTTAGCATAATTCTTCGACAACACAATAAGAGAAGCCTTAGATCCTTTAATTGCACTCATGATCTCTGGGTAAAGATCTACCCCTCTTTGAACCTCTTCATCATAAAAAAAGGTAGTGATATTGGAATCAACGAGGGCATGATTAAGGTGATCAGAGAAACTATAACGAGTGTCGGCACCTCTAAAGCTAACAAATACGTCATACTTATGACCATCAACTGGTGAAGAAGATGAAGCTCCATCTTCAATATGAGAGAGAATAACCATTATGAGTTACGAGTTACTGGAGGATATCAATGATTTCAGACCAGATCTACAATGGATGCAGCAAGTATTGGTATTTCATAAAGGGAGATGATAAATCCACGATATTTTTTGATACAGCCACTGATTTTTAAGATAAAATGACATTTATGCCCTTGTAATTAATTATTCAAACGCAAATTTTCCTTTCAATTGAAAATCACCGTCTCTCCATAATTGGGTCAAAGAAGAAGAGGCGACAACCTCCACCTGGGATCTCCTGGTCGCTTCTTGAGGCTGCAACAACCATCATTCACAAGCCATTGTTTGTGCTTGCAGACGTCACCGTCGGCTAGTACGCCGTGAAATCTTCATGAGGCTACAACAATTGTCGGAAAATTTCTTTTAGTTGGGGCAAAACATATTCGTAGTGAAATTCTTGAAGGCATGATTGCTCACGTTTTGCATCTGTATCAACCTTGTAAGTGTGACCCTTGTGCTTACCTTCACCATTCCAGACATCGACAACAATTGGCTCACCCTCACCTTTTTCAGCCCATTGGCGACAACCTCTCTGTCCTCCACCGCTATCAACAACCTTCTCATCATCCACTGAAACCATCAACGATTCTCTACTGAAACCACCGCCTTCTCACTTCGTTTCTTCGTTCTTCATTCCCCCAGTTGAGTTGATGTTTTCCCCTCCAACATTTTCACGGATTTTAGGTTTCTTCTGCAAGTTCGGTTTTTGGGTTTAAAGTTCAAGCTTTTCCTGGTTTTATATATATGGCAGATTAAGCAAGAAATCTGGAGATAGAATCTATGGCGATTTTGGCAAGAAAACTGGAGTTCAATTTAGGTTTAAAGTTCTGCGATTTAAGCAAAAAATATGAGTTTGCTTTTGGGTTTAACATTCTGTGATTTTAAGAAAGATATACAGAGTTCAATTTTTGGATTTTGATGTTACTTTTTTTAATTTTGTATTTGGTTTTAAAGGAATATGATTTAGGCAAGAAAATGCCTTGATTTTGGATGAGAAAATGGTGGTTCACAATGACGATTTTCTTAGTTAATTTGTACTAGAAAGAGAATTGATAAAATAGAGATTGCATTGGAGAGTGATTGTGGTGCCAGAGAAGGAAGAGTGGGATAACTCTTTTGTTATAACTATTTTGCTTCATATCAGTCTTTGAATAACTAATTATAATCTAATTATAAATGAGGGTTACATTTGTCATTCTACTTTGAAAATCAGTGGATGCATTAAAAAAATCCATGGAAGTATCACCTCCCTTTCATAAAGGAAATTCAAGTCAACGACTTTTGATATATGATATAGTTTTTTAATTTTCTTGTAAGCTTAATGATCGGAAAAGCGAAATAACAAATTACTAAGAAATGGGCTTTAATTATATGATGCTAAGAATAACATAATATACTTTAAAACTTTATTATATTTGGAAATATTTTGTACCAGAAATCACAAGTTTTCAAATTTTGGTTCAGTTTTCGGTAATTATATTAATTATTTGACAATGCCGAAAAGATGCTTTTTCAGTTCGTAATTTTATTTGGTCTTGGTTTTTAAAAAAAAAATCATATTTGTTTCTATATTTTTATTTGATCAAACAACTAATAGCAATGGTTTTAGTTTTTTATTTAGCAAGTTACAAAATAACAACTGCGCCTAACTGATATTTTTATTCATCTATAAAAAAATTGTTTATTAACTATTATACCCTTAATTTTAATTTCTAAATGACATTTTTTTACACAATCTTACTCTACACACCAATCTATTTAGACCATTTATATTAGGTTCATGTATAAATCTTAAATATCGTGTAAATGTATGACCTAATATGAGTCATTGGTCAAATTCAATCTTTCAAAAATATATTAATAACTTTAATTATATTTAATTACGGTAAAACAGTTAATTCCCTAAATATTTCTCTATTATCTTGTATTTATTGATTCCTTTGTTTCTTCACCCCCACCCCACAATTATTTTTCAGGGTCTTCTCTTCTTATTTGGTTCATCATCCATTTTTTTTGAAACGACAATATATATAGATATAAATTAGAATCCAACGTATAGCTAGAAGTAGTACAAAATGAGGTGAGAATAAAATAGTTATAGGGTCCAAGATAAACTAAACAATTGTAAGGCACCAGTCCAAGGCACCAAACCAAATGGGAAACACATCAGATTGTAAGGCTGGAGAACCTAAAGACTAATATCTCTTTATTACGACCTTAGCTCCAAGGGTCAATAGTAACTTTGTATTTCCTCATAGTCAATCCATTTCAATCTTCATTCCACATCTTTGCCCAACCAATTCAGATTAGACCATCAACTTCATCAATTTGGCAGTCACAATGTAGTGTAGAGCTCTCCAAATCAACCATTTTTAGACAGGGGTAAATTCGTCCATAATATCCAGAAACCATAAATTCCAGCTTAGCTTATGTCTGTAATATAAGCAAGATCAGTGCCGACTTTGGGAGGCTTCAATTACCGACGTGTGTGTTAACTTTAATTGACTTCAAGCTCCGATATTCTTCAACACCTGCAAAATAAAGATACAACACCAGAAAAAAGGAGAAAAACGCACACCAAGAGTTTATTATGATGTCCACCATCCCACGTCCCAATTTTCACATGAAAGGCAACACCACGAAAAGAACCTAAGTAGATGAAAGAGACTCACACCAAACACACGCTGGCTATAATTAGGCACATCACCAAGGACCCCAAAGTCACCAATAAGAAACCAATGAACTCACACCCAAACCTCGCACCCCCCTTTTTTTTCTCACCTTTTGCATTTAGCTATCGGATCACAACACCACTCCGCCCATCCAAATTTTTTATGCTTGCTTCTTGAGTTCATCCAAAAATGGCTTAGTATGTGTACTTGTAACGACCCGTTTCCGGTATGTTAATTCCTTGGTATTTGTTTTGAAGTTTTGCAAGAGGGACTCGGCGAGTTCATAGCCTGACTCGCCGAGTAGGGTCGGGATTTCGAGCACGTGTTAGCTGGAGACTCGGCGAGTCCATATTCCGGACTCGGCGAGTCTGTCCGTCTGGGAGAAACCCTAAATCCCCGGGTTGCCCACTATTTAAGCCACCTTATGGCCCTCATTCTCGCCTCCATCACCCTCAGAAGCTGTGAGAAAACCCTAATTCGTTCTTGAGTGATTGTAAGTGATTTTTGTGTGCTTTTGTGAAAGCTTGAAGAAGGAGAAGAAGAAAGGAGCAAGGAGAAGGAGTGTGGAACAGAGATTCAAGGGAAAAGCAAGAGCTCTTTGAGGTATTCTTCTGATTTCTTTCCCTTTTAAGCTTAAAAACCCTTCTTAGATCTATTTGATGCCTTTCTCAAGCCTTATGTTGATATGGAAGCCCTATTATGCCGAGATATATTTAGATCTGTTTATTTAGGAGTTGTAGAGCCCAGATCTATTGCCTTTATGGAGCTATTTTGCATATTAGCCCTAGATCTACCTCTTTTAGGCATCTTTTAGCCTTTATTCCCTTGTTCATGTGTTTGTGCACGTAAAGTTGGAAACTTTACGTGGTAAACTAGCTTATTGGACTCAGATCTATCATTTGTATGTTTTGGATTCGAGCAGAAACGAGTGTAGAATAGTTGCATAGCGGTGACTCGGCGAGTCGGAAAAACGACTCGGCAAGTCGAGTCGCGAGTCCCCGATTCCTTCCTTTTGAGCCGTGTCTGTCGAGTGGGACCAGTGAGTAGTGGGGTGGACTCAGCGAGTTGAGGGTAGACTCAGTAATGGAGGGACTCGGCGAGTTGTTCATACAACTCGGCGAGTCCAAGGCAATCTTCTTAAGATCAAGAACAACTCGTCGAATTGTTCATATGACTCGGCGAGTCAGATGAAGATTGTCTGAGTTCTTGGATCAAGAGGGTACTCGTCGAGTCGTTGCCATACTCGACGAGTAGCAGTGAGTAGGATTGAAAAGTGAGAGTAGGACTCGGCGAGTTGGCGGCCCAACTCGGCGAGTCAGTTCAAATGAGAGTTGACTTTGACCAAGGGTAAAAGATTTATTTTACCCAAGTGCAGTGTTTAGTATTTGATTGAGTGTGTTTATGGACTTGTAGCCGGGGAGATACCGGAGCAGCAGCAGTTAGCTTCCAGAGCCACACACTCAGCAGCCAGTTTACGAGGTGAGTTTCCTTCCCGTAGTTAGAGTGCTTGATGTCTTTGTGATACAAGCATATTTGTGTTATGTGTTCCGGACTCTGTTCCGACACAGTATGCAGTATATGTGATTATGATAGTGTTATGTGTTATGCTATGCCATGATCGGTTAGTTCTGGACCTCGGTCCGATGCAGTCAGTTCCGAGCTTCGGTCCGATGCAGTTAGTTCCGAATTTCAATCCGATGCAGATAGTTCCGGACTCTGGTCCGATGCAGGGGACAAGGTCCCAGTCAGTTCCAGACTTCGGTCCGATGCAGCTAGTTCCAGACTTCGGTCTGATGCAGCGGGCAAGGCCCAGTATGTGCTTTATTTATATGTTGTATGGTATGTGGTAGTTTGGGGGAGCTCACTAAGCTTCGTGCTTACAGTTTCAGTTTTGGTTGCAGGTACTTCCGCAAGCAAAGGGAAGAGCTCGGGGTGATAGCATCGCACACACCACAGCTTTAGCTTTTATCCTGGGAATTGATTTAGTCTGTTTTGATTTGACATAGTATGACACAGTTTTCCGCACAGTGTTTTTATTATGTTTGGGATACATCACGTATGATTTTATGATATGACACTCAGATTATGGTTTTGGTTATATTGAAAAACGAAATTTTTGGGTCGTATTTTTGGGTCGTTTCAAGTTAGTATCAGAGCCCTGGTTTAAGGGATTTGGATACACTTCCGGGTGTATCTGAACTCAAACTAAGGGGAAATAAAAAGATTTAAAAAAAAAAACGTCTTCTAAAAAGAATTTTGAAAGCACTTAGAAAGAAAGAAATTTTTAACGAGATAGAGGTGTGTGCATGC